CCCCAAAACCCCAAAACCCCAAAACCCCAAAACCCCTGCTAGAGTTATAATATTGACCTAAAAATGAGAAGAAGAGGTTTTGGAGGAGGCTTTGGAATGAGGAGAAGACCAATGATGATGGCTCCAATGATGATGATGCCAAGACGAAGAGTTGTGGTGGTCAATCCACCTCCCAAAAAGAAAAAGACAAAGATTGTCTATATTCATGGCCCTCCGCCTCCTGGACATCAAACGACAACTACTACTGTTGTCCACCATCCTCCAGCTGTTGAAGCTCAAGGCATTCAGCAAAATACTCATACAAATGTGAGTATGGGAGTTCCTGTTGGAAGTAGTATTCCAATGGGTCAGCCTCCAGGAGGATTACCAGAGAGTTCAGACCCGATGCCTCCATCTCCTGTCCAAATTCCTGGAGAACCCCATGGTGTACAGAATTATCCTCCCATTGGCTCTGAGCCATCACCTGAAGAGAGTATATCTCAATGAAAGTCTTGTGGAGCACAGTTCAATTCTAATGAAGCTCATTTACATAAATGTCTTCTATGCTCGAATCCAGGTAAAACTCAAGATACTAATGACTTGGAACATCCTTATGACCCAGAAATGACTAATAATGCGGATATGATGCCGAGAAGAAACTCAATTGAGCACCCAGGAGCTAACCAGACCGGTGACTTGACACAATCTTTACTTCCTGACAAAGTTATTAAGAAAACCCTTTTGTCAGACCAGATCTATATGCAAGCTTGGGTAGACCTAAATGTTGGCTTTTTAGATCGCTTCAAAAAGATTCAAGCAAGTTTTAGGACCAGAAAACTTGGATTCTGGGAGCATGTCCGAGGTAAAAAGTGGAAGAACATCAAGAAGCTTTGCCCTCCTATCAAATACCCTGAGTTTTTGAGCAACCATAATATAATCTTGACTACAAACATTGAAAAATGGCTTGAGATAAATCACCAGTATTTGATCAGAGAGGTAGAATCTTTACCCAAGAAAGATTGTTCCTTCTGTGGCAAGAAATTTGAGCTTAAAAAGGATGTAGCTCTACTTCCATGACTAGACCTAGTGCATTATAAGTGACTTAAGAGTAAATTCAGAGGGTTCCTGTTCATTCGTCAAAAGGACTCAACCTGAGCATGTGAGCTAAACTTACAAGAAATGTATGAAAGTGTCAAAACTTTTCTTGATTATACCTAATTTTCAAAGTTAAAGGATCACCCAATGTATACTATTTCCAATAACATAGCTAGTTGAGGGGTTTTGGGGTTTTGGGGTTTTGGGGTTTTGGGG